TTCCCATCCTCCCCCCCCCCCCCCCCCCCCCCCCCCCCCCCCCCCCCGCCTCAGAATACTGAGTGTACAACAACCACTCATTATTTATTCAGTTGCATATTGAGGCTTGTCGCATGTCACTTCCTCAGACAGGTTCTGAGGCATAAGCAGATGAAGAATGCAGACACCATCCCTCTGCCATCAAGAGGAGGATAGGCTATTAACAACCACTGGCGTGTGTTTATATCAATAACAGCAGATTTTAATCTCAAGTACCTTTTTCTAGGTCAAGGAGATCATGCTTCATTCAAGGCAAGTGCTAACAGAAAAGGTTATTTGGAAATTTGAACAAACAAGTAAATACTGCTATTTTCCGTTTTATGTAAATAAAATTACATTTCTCTTTAGGACAATTAAGAGCAGATCAGTTTCTCTAATATGTGGATGCTGATTCATAATAAGAGGGGGCACTAGAGAAGAACAGAGTTACCCTTTTCACTAAGGTAGAGAACAGTAGTGGAGGGGTAGGTTTAGGAAGAAAGTATGTATTTGGTTTAGGCTGTGGGAATTGTGGATGCTCCTTGGCTGCATTTGTGGAGATTCCCAGCAGGTGTGGAGAGAGAAGTTGCTGTAGAGAATGGGATACTATGTGCTTCCTTGACCAGATTGCTGAGGCTTTGGAAGAATACCATGAATGAGAAGTTTATAGCTCAGATTGGTCTAATTTCTAGGTCTGTATAGTACAGGTCTCTCCTGTTGTTGATCTCTCTGGAATTGAGCTTCTTCTGTCACTTAGCATCTCCCCCCATTACAGCTGGAAATGCCTCCTCCCAGGCATTCCAGGCTGACCAGACAAACATAATGTCCAGGCCATGATCCACCTTAGGCCAAATCTGGTTTAGTAAATGGGGCAAGAAAGAGGCCCTGAAGCTGGCAAGGGAGTAGGTCACTGAGAGCTTGCACGTAGCTCCCTTGACTGCCTCTGTGGTGTACATGGGTTGTGGCCCTGTCGCCCATCTGAGACACAGCCTGCAGGAAAGAAATAGAAAAGCTGGGAGAAATTTCTTATTTGTCTCCCAGACCTCAAGTTGAGAGGTGAGAGAAGGGACATTGTTGATGATGGTGGACAATTTTCAGGGGCAGATCAAGAAGGATTTCCTTAGAGCCATTTCCAAACCTGGTCGATGATCAGAATTAGTTTAAAAACAAAACAAGGGCTGGGGTTGTGGCTCAGCGGTAGAGCACTAGCCTAGCACGTGTGAGGCCCTGGGTTTGATCCTCAGCACCACATAAAAATAAATAAATAAAATTAAGGTATTGTGTCCAACTACAACTGAAAAATAAATATTTAAAAAAAATACATACAGGGCTGGGGATGTGGCTCAAGCCGTAGCGCGCTCACCTGGCATGCATGCAGCCCGGGTTCGATCCTCAGCACCACATACAAAGATGTTGTGTCCGCCGAAAAGTAAAATATAAATATTAAAAAATTCTCTCTCTCTGTCTTTAAAAAAATACATACATATATATGTATACACACACACACACACATATATATATATATATGACTTGCAGTTAATAAATGTTTTTATAAATAAATACATATTACATATACTTTCCCAAATGTGTGTGTGTGTGTGTGTGTGTGTGTGTTATTTGAGAAAGTATAGAAATACAGAAAAACACCCAAGGGCCAAGTTTTCATTTTGGCATCACATTTAACTTATGAATTGTGGAATATACTAGGTCTAAAGAAAGGAGCATAAAACACAAAGGTACTGAATAACAGTTATACATTGACACCTGGGTCTAGAACTTGGTCTAGTCACATCCCTTTCCCCCTTCTCTAGAGGGAGCCAATAATCTTGATGTTTTGATAATTCTTTCTTTTTTTTTTCTGTACATTTTACCACCTAGTTTTGAAATCCTTAAACAGTATATTTCAGTTTTGCATGTTTTTTGAATCTCACATAAGTGGAATCATGCAGTATGTATCCTTTTCAACTCACTTCCTTTATACTGCTTTATTTGGTAAGATCATCCATGTTATTGCAGATCCTTTTCATTACTGAATAGTATTCCATTGTATGAATCATTACAATTTGTTTATCTATTTTTTTTTTGTTGTTGTTAAATATTTAAGTTATTGCCAATTTTTGCTCATTGTGAATAACATTGCTATGGGTACTCTTATGTATATCCTGATGCACCTTGACACAGTTTTATCCCAAGTATATTCTTTTCTTTTTTTTTAGTTAATGGATCTTTATTTCATTTATTTATATGCGGTGCTGAGAATTGAAACCAGTACCTCACACATGCTAGGCAAGTGCTGTACTACTAAGCTACAACCCCAGCCTTCCAAATACATTCTTGAGGAATAGAATTGCTGGATGATAAAGCATGCATACCTTCATATTGTACCAAACTCTTTTATAAAGTCATTGTACCAATTCATACTGCCTCTAGCCTTGTAGAATGTCATCATTAACCAACACTTGGTATTATCAACCTTTTAAATTTTTTCCAGTCTAATGCATATAATGTGATATATATTTATGATTTTAATTTTTTTTTGTGTGTGTGGTGGTGCGGGGATCAAACCCAGGGCCTTGCACATGCTAGGCAAGCAGATTGCCTCTGAAATACATTGGGGGAACCCTGTGGTTTTAATTAGCATTTCTATGATTACTAGTAAGGTTAAGCATCTTTGCAAATGTTTACCCACTATTTATATTTCTTCTTCTTTTATTTATTTATTTGTTTACTTGT